TTTTTGAATGTCTGTTCCCAGCCCTAAGCAGAGAGTAAAGGGGAGACTTCAGGAGACAACTGACATGAGAAGGTCACATAATAAGACAAGCATGAAGTGACCTGATGGGAAAGGCCATACATGGTGGATCCAAGAGGAAATGTATTCTGAAATCATTGTGAACCAAGTAGTCTGAGAGAGCTCAGCTTCATGCAGCATTGAGTAGCATGGCATATGTACTCAATACCTTTGCACAGCACAAGCATTGGCTCCAATTGGCTTCTACATGAATATGTTAGAAGTGCAGTTCTTCACAGCAGGGCAGTGCAGCGGGGATCCCAGGGGGAGTGTTAGAGCTACAACAGCAACCTTCCAGGCTGGAGATGCTGCACCACTGTCCCTCAGGAATGACCTGAGGCTGCGTTCACTGCACAAGGGGCTGATGGCAACCCCTCAGACCCAGCACCACCTTCTCCAGATGCCATGGCACCTCCTCAGGTCAAGGCAGCCATGCACTCAGCCTACAGAGATGTTGTGCTTGTTAAGTCCTTTGGTAAGTAAAGTCTTTTCTACCAAAACAGTATTTGCCCCAGTGTGGGAACTGATGTGCAATCTGAGCCATGTGAAGGTGACTTGTTTGGTAACTGGAAAACTGGCTGACATACCCTGTGGTTGCCTAATCCTGTGATCCCAGGAACAGGGGGGAGAGTGCTGCTTGCCCAAGGGACCTTCAAGTCTGGAGGATCTCCAATTTCTGCCAGCAAACCTCTGGCAGGAGCAGCATTTGACAGCACAGATGAGGACAGAGAGGAGAGTTCTTCTATAGGGAAGCTTTGGAAGCTGAGGCTCTGCCAGCTGAACTTGGAGCACCTCTGCCCTCAAAGCTCCCCTATGGCCAGACAGCCCCTGCCCATGCTGCAGATTAAGCAGAGGCCACTAGAAGGTTTTGCTTCTTCTAGAGAACTGGGGGTCATTCTTTTTGTCAGGTGTGCTACAAATTAGCCCTGCACCTTCAGGTACCGCCAGGACAGTTCAAAAGTTTACCATCGCTGGAACCTTCTGCCCTTCTGACCCACCCTCCCAGCGTGCCACTTCCATCCTCACTGTGCATATGCAAACACTAGCCAACAGGAGATACCCATGATTCTGTTGGACTAGAAGATAGTCAAGTTAAAGTGTGTTTGCCTGGACGTGGGAGTTCAAGACTAGGTGGTAGAATTGCAGAATACTGTCCTTATCTTTAAATATTTGTGAGTGCCAGTTACTTTGAATCTTTTCATTTTGGAAAGCTTGTTTCTTAGGGTTACCATATGTCCAGTTCCAAAAAAGAAGACACCTGTTGCACAGGGTAAGGGGTGGTATATGATTGTGGAGGGCAGCGATATGTCAGTGCCCTGTCCCTGCCCATTGCATTGCCCCTCACTCCCAAGCTATAGCCCCTGCAGCCCTGCTGTTGCCCCCTCACTCCTGACCCACAGACCATTGGCTCTACCAGTACCCTGCTCCCCAAGCCATGCTTGTGCCCCTCACTCACAACCTACAGTCCCCCACCCCCTCATGCCCCTCACTCTCAAGCCACAGCCCCCCAGCCCTGCTGGTGCACCTCACTCCCAACCTGCAGCCCCCTGCTCCCCGCAGCCCTGCAGTGTCTCCTGGATGCCCCATCCCTGCAAGCACAGGCACCAGCCCCAGTGCTGCTGACTTGGCCACACAGCTCCCCACTGCCCCCAAAGGGACCCCCCACCCCCATCCACTGCTCCCACCACCCTGCCTGGCTGCATGCCGGCCACATGCGTGTGCAACCTACACACACGTGTTGTCCCCCTCCCCTCCCTCTCGTTCCCTCCAGCCCCAAGCAGCTGCTTGCTAGGGCAAGCCAGGAAAAACTTCAAAGCTGAGCTGACCAAAATCGTGGACATTTGATCATATTTAAAAAAAAAACCTGCCTAGATGGAGATTGAAGGATCCAAAACAAAGACTTGTTTGGGAAAACCTGGACATATGGTAACCCTATTGTTTCTTAACCCATGTTCTTTCTTGTTTATACACGTGATAGTGTGCGCTCCAGGCCATACATGAACTATGTCAGTGGTTCTCAGTGTTTTTAGACTCAAGGCACACCTTGTTAGGCTCAAGGCACCCATTCATAGATTCAAAGCACTCCTCCGAAACTGCCAGCTCCCACTCATTTTTTGACTATAGGAAAATAATAGAGCAATGTTTCTGTTGCAAAGAGCTCAGAAAGACCACAACAGGTCAGAATGTTTTTAACATCATGACTCCCTGTTTGAAATCTCTAGGTTGTTGAATCATGTTTGCATGCCTAACCATGCCAACATTGTGAGACACCCAGGAGCACCCATAAAAAGATTGCAGGGCAGATTGGTTGAGAATCACTGAAATAAATAATGCCATAAACCTTTGGATGGATCATACCATAATTCTCCTTTACTACCAAAAAGTCTTCAGTGCCTTCATTTGTAGTTGAAGGGCGAATCTTAAATAAAGTGACATTTAGGAAACAAGCAGGCGTACAGCAAAGGGAGGATTTTCATGACATGAATTTCATAGCAACCTTCCTGTAAAGAAAGCTAGTGTTTTGTCTGGGTCATTGCATAATCTTCTGTTTCTTCAACCATGAATTGTATGTAGGACCAGGCAGATTCACAGCTTGAAGCTGGGAAAGGGGTGGGGAGGGTAGAATTATGGCAGAGGATTAGCCCTCTTATTCATGCACAAAGCAGTCAGGATACAGAGCCACATTTAACTCTTGCAGGGTCAGTTTTTGCCAAGGATTTGGCTCTAAAATAACGAGAGGAGCCCTGACAGAACCATGGCACTGACTGTCTTGGTGGAGAAAGTCACTGGAGAGCACACTGGGGAGGTGCCGCCCATGGCCTGGGGGATGGAGAACATCCCTGCTCTGAGCAGCCTCCTGTGCCATGGGAGAGTCACGGGGCTGGCCCCTGGGGAGCTAGAAGGCCCAGACATGCTGTTGCCAAGTCTCTTTATAACAAGCAGAATTGGGCTTGTGTTTTTTTAAAAGTTGCTCATATTTTTTGAGAGTCACGTATTGCAGTTTTTGGGGCTTGTTTTATTTGGAGTTTGCTTATTTTGTATGTGGCTGAGGCCAGCTTCCATGGACACCCCAGCAACAGCCGTGCTGATAGTGCAGGGCCAGGGTTTTTGCGCAGACTGGCACCAGCAGCACTGGCAGGGAGCACGGCAGGGCGGGGAGCTCCTCTGGGGTCAGGCTGGGATTGTGGTGGTGACAGCGTGGTCTGGAACTGGGGCAGAGCCGTGATCTGCAGCTCGCATGCTCTAGGCAGGGGTGTGCAGGCAGCAGATCATGGCTGTGCCCCAACTCGGGACCATGCTGTCACCACTGCAAGGAGCCAGGGCAGGGCTGATATCTACAGCCTCCACATCCCAGTTACGAAGACAGGATTTGCTACAAGAATTTTGTCCCAAGCTGGGATACGGTCCAACAGTTCAACACAGGAATGTATCTGATGGCAACAGAGACTGTGGAGGGCAGAGAGCGCAAAGATGGCCTTTTTTAAATAATGTAAGTACACACATATTTATCTAAATATTATATGCAGCAAAACTAGAACTGCTAAAAAAATATGGAGCTTGTATATGGAGGTCTTCCCTACTCCCCTCTCTTTGAAATGGTTTGGTGTAGGCTGCTATGGGCAGATCACAGCAGGGTGTTTGGTCAAGCTAGTGGAGCTGACTAGTTTTACTTTTGCTGCTGGCTTTGGCCAAGGACCCACTGTTCAGGGCCCTTGCCTCTGCTGCAGCCTGGCTAGTGGATAATACCAGGAGGCAAATGATCAAGCAAGCAAGCAGAGAAGAGCCCTGCTCTAGGCTCTCCTGGTGGCTGTTTAACACCCAGACAACTCCAGGCAGCCTGCTTCCTGGGCCAGGTGCAGCCCCTTGAGGCTGCTTTCAGTGTCTTTTATCCTTCTCACTCTGGGCTCACAGCGGCTAATCCTCTCTCACTCCTCACACCTGTCAGCTCCCTTGCTGCAGGACTCGCTACCCCCCAGGACCTGGCTCCTCAGCCTCCAGCGAATTCTTGCAAGTCTGGGCTGGGTGTGCAGAGGTGCTTCTGGGGTGTAGGGCTGTTCAGACTCCCCCAAGCCCCTAGTAACAGGGCAGGGCCCTGCTACAGTCAGCCTTATTTTAAACGTGGCGCTGCATTTTTTTCTTGTGAGACTTGGCAAAACAGCTCTGCAAAGGCTGTCCACACTGCTCCCAGTGCTGCCCCGCCACAGACCCAATGCCACGGGTGGCTGGAGCTGCCATGGCTGCTACGTGCAGGAGCTTTGGGTACGTTAGGCCGTAGTCATGCTAAGCTATAGTCAAGCTGAGACCAAGCAAAGGACCTTGGGAGTGTAACAGGTGTCACCAAGGGCTGGATGACCTGCTTAAGATACAGGTACTGAAAATGCAAAGTAAGAAACAACAGTTGAGGAATAAAAACGTAGCAGTTGCTGAAGCAGAGACAACAAGGGGCGAGGTGAGCGGAGCAGAACATGGCCGGGAGCGAGCGAGCTCCAGCTGCCCCAGCTTGCAAGCGGGGAGCGGCGGTTGCCAGGAAGGAGCTGCAGGCCTTGGCCCGGAGGCACGTCAGAGCAGCGCGAGACGGGCGTTAGGGGACGGGAGGAGCCGCTGCCGGAACAAGCCGCAGCCAAAGGGGGCGGGCGAGGCGACACGACGCGAGGTCCGACTGTTCAGGCGGCACCAGCAACATGTGGGTGGCCGCTCTGCGCCTCCTCCGCAGAGCAGGCGCCTGCGCCCCGTGCCGCCGCAGCTCGGCCATGGGCGCC